ACTTCAGGAGAACAGGCAAGCCTGTGACTTAGGAAACAATCACTGTGCGAAATATGAAGCATATCTGATGTGCTGAGTCAATCTAAGGAGTCCAGATTTGGTAAACGCGAAACTCTTAGAGGTTCTGTTTATCCTTTATAAACCAATGGTGGCTGGGAGATCTTTTTCAAGAAACAATGATTTTTCTTGTCTTAGGGTTATAAATGTACAAAAATATGTTTTATGTAATAATCTATAATGTCATAAAAGATAATTCAACACCAAATTTTAATATAAAAGCCTAAGGCTCTCTGTATTCATTTCGTTATGTAAATTTTATTCATTTTATATGAGGTATGTAAATTATACACCTTTCTGGATGAAACTGTATATACCACACTTTCTGCTACTTTAACATAAACTTAACAGTAAGACTAACAGAACTCTTTAGATTTGTATTTTATAAGGAAAGAAACAAGCAGTTTTACTCTTTTCTTAATTACCAGTTTATATAATTAATCAAAGTGTTTTGTAAATTTAACTTTTTTTGTTTGTTGTATAGTGCGTTATTTAAAAATATCCAATGAATTATATTTTTGTCTTTAATGATGGATGAGTAGAAGTAATGCTAATTGGCTGTATTTGGTTATAAAAAAATAAAATAACAGTGCTTTAAAAAGATATAATTCAGTTAAGCATTCTTGAAATAAAGATTATATATATATATATATATATATATATATATATACATATATATATATATATGTACGCGTGTGTGTGTGTCTTTAAAATACAGTGTTTTATATAAATATATACGATGCTGTTTATGCCTGGGAAACTGAACTAGAATAGTCAACAAAGATATAATCCTAGTAAAGATGTTATTGAACTTCAACAATGGATGGATGGAAGGGAAGGAAGGAGGAAGAAAACAGGAAAAGAAAATCATTTAGGTATCTAGACAAAAAGATATAGTCACTTACATTAGAGAATAAATTGGCCTGGCCTCAGAATTCTCCACAGCAACATTCAATGTCAGAAAATAGTGGAGTAACACAAAATTTTTTAGGAAAGAAAGTGCTATCCCAAGTGGTTATACTTTGCTGCCTTAGCCTAGGTTCCTCAGAGTGCAGTCTGGGACAAAGGTTTCATCAAGTATATGAGATTTGACAATTAAATTCACGAACTTATCCTATAAAAAGTGTTAAATACCTTATTGCTGAATATCACTACAGTCACCTTCAAAGGACTCCCCTTGGGAAGCTATGCACTGACACCAGTGCCTAGTTCACCCTTCAAAGCAATTTTGGAACTCTTTCTCTGGAATGGCCATCGGAGCTCTCATCGTATTACACTGATATCCTGAATGTCATCAAAATGTCTTCCTTTCAATATTTCCTTTATCTTTGGGTAAAGAAAAAAGTCATTGGGGGTCAGATCAGGTGAGTAAGGAGGGTGTTCCAGTACAGTTATTTGTTTACTGGCTAAAAACTCCCTCACAGGCAGTGCCATGTGAGCTGGGGCATTGTCATGATGCAAGAGCCATGAATTGTTGGTGAAAAGTTCAGGTCATCTAATTTTTTCATGCAGCCTTTTCAGCACTTCCAAATAGTAAACTTGATTAACTGTTTGTCCAGTTGATACAAATTCATAATGAATAATCCCTCTGATATCAAAAGAGATTAGCAACATCATTGCAACAAGTTCGCAAACTTAATTGTCAACCTAGTATGTATTAGTTTTCTATGGCTGTTGTAACAAATTACCACAAACTTGGTAGCTTAAAACAACAGAAATGTTTTCTCTCACAGTTGTCTGAAATCAGTACCACTGAACTGAAATCAAGGTGTTGGCAGGGTTGGGCTCCCTCTAGAGGCTCTAAGGGAAAACTTGTTTTTTGCCTCCCAGTTTCTGGTGGCTGCCAGCATTCCTTGACTTGTGGCCCCATTGCTCCAATCTCTGCTTCCATGGTCACATTGTCTTCTCTTCTGTGTATAATTTCCCTCTGCATGTTACTTATAAGAATACTTGTGATTGCATTTGTGGTCTGCCCATGTAATCCAGCATAATTACTCCATTTCAAGATTCTTTTTTTTTTTTTTAGCTGAGCCATCCTGCCACCTGTTGGCAGCTCAGCGGCAGCTTGGGCTGGGCATCAAACTGCTGTTGCTCAGAGGTCGCACTCTTGAGCGAGCTCTTAACCGACTGAGCCACTCGGCTGGCCCTTTCAAGATTCTTAATCATATCTGCAAAGACTCTTTTTTCATATAAAAGGTAGAATGTACAGGTTCCACACATATTATAAAGAAATTAAAGGAATTATAAGAGACTACTCTTCTCAATTCAATGCAAATAAACTTGACAACTGGGATGAAGCAGATAATATCCCATAAATGTATAACTTGTCAAAACTATTGCCAGCAAAAATTTAAAGGTTTCCAAAATACAAATAGAGAAAGATGTCAGAGAATCTCCTTCCCCACTTCCCTCCCACCCACCAAAATAATGAAGTGCCTGGACTAGAAATCTCACAGGGAAATTCCAACAAAACTTTTAAAGAGCAGGTAATTCCAATGGTATTTTAACTGTGGTAGAGCACAGGGGGAAAAAAATGTGCTTCCAAATTCTTACTATGAAGTGGGCACATATCAATTAGGATTGCACAAAAAGAAAACTAGCAACCATATCAAAGGTTCACCAGAAGATGCTAATAATTAGATATGAGGATATATGGAAATTAATAGCCTTCTTGTATTCAGACACAACCAGTTAGCAGACATAACAGAAGGAAAAATTTCCTATTTCCAATAACAACACAAAAGGTAAAATGTCTGAGAGAAAAATGTATGAGATCATTATGAAAAACTTTAAAATGATAAAGAGGAACACAAAATAAGATGTGAACAAAAGAAAAAGCATTCCATGTCCTCAGATAGGATGACTCAAGATCATAAAGATGTCAATTCTCCCTAAATTAACCTACAATTTTCACACAAGTCTAATAAAAATGTCAGCTTCATTTTGTCAGAATGATCAAGCCGAGTCAAAAGTTCATGTGGAAAAATAAACAAGTAAAATTAGCCAAGAAAAGTCTGGAACAGAAGAGTAATAGGGAGGAAACCAGTGTTCAAGTATTAACACAGAGCTTCTATAGTTAAAACAGTGTAATACATGAATAAACAGACAAGTCATGGAAAAGAATATGAACTCCAGGGATAGATATACATCTACTGATGGCATTTTAGAAAAGGTGGCATTGCAAATATATGGGGAAAAGGTGTGTTATTTAATAAAGTGTTGAGAAAAATGGTGGGGGAGAGAAAAAGGGGAAAATAAAATCTGATTCTATTCCTGACACCTAATAATGAAATAAATTCCAAATGTATTAATTTTGAAGTATTAAAAAAAATCAAAATACCAGGGAACCATAGAAAGTGGAAAAACTTTCTAATTATTACATGAAATTCAGAAGCTATAAAAGATAAGATTGATAAATACAATTAAATGTTAAAAAATGTACATGAAAGAAAATATAACAAGCAAAGTCAAAAGGCAAATATCAAATTGGGAAGAAAAAAAAAATGTGAACTTACAGACATAAGGTTAATCTCACTAATGCACAGAGTTCCTAGAAGCCAATGAGAAAAACACAAGTTAGGAAAGAATGTTCAGTATCACTTATTCCAAATCTCTTTATCTCAAACATGAGGTAACTATAGGCCAGAGAGAATTAAAAATGTTCTCTATGTCATATGGCTGACTCATAGTGACAGAGCCAGGTAGAGAACCCAAATTTCCCAAACCTTTGTCTTTCTACTGCAGGACACATGGTTATATGAGTGTGTGAATAATGAAATGGGTAAGGTTTTGAAATTAAGCATCAGGCCAACCCAGTATCTTCACTGACTTACTTTCTCCTATTACTTTATTCTCTATTGAGCCTTATCTTTACTTTGTCTCTTTCTTTTTAGCCCTCTCAAAATCACATTCCATTTTTTAGAAAGTGAATTTATTTTTTATCATGTAAATTTTTTAAGCCATTCTAAAGGAGAAAGGTTCAAACCTGGATTTAATCCTATTTTCACCTATCTCCTCTAACAGAAACAACCCCTGAACTCTAAATGCCTTTCTTTCTTACCAGTAATCCTCTGAGAACAACCCAGCACAAGGAATATATACCCAATTCTACCCAAAGAAAATCAATGGTGAAATGAGTTGGGAGTGGATCTAGAAGTTGAATTCCAAAAAAGCAATCAGAATTAAAAGTCCATGCTTAAGGGATGATAAGAATGTAAACCTGTAAAAACAGGTCCTATATTAACTCAAATCCATTAGTCCGATTTAGACTTGAATTTTCTCCAGAGCTCTCAAAGCAGAAACAATACCATGGGTATGAAAAAATTGAGATCATGACATTAAGAAAAAAGCTGAAGAGAAATTGAAAATATTTATCCAGGTATTTCAAACCCATTTTTAATACCTTTATTTTATTTGTGCAGTCCCGTCACAATATGTACAGGTAGAGTTCAAGAAATTTGACTGTTTTCACGAACACTGGTTTCAATAATGGCTACGTCACTTCACCAGTTTTGTCATATATTGAGAAACTGATAAACACGTTGGCTTGGGAAGATTAAATGGCATAATACAGATAATCATTTGGCAAAGTGTCTAACATACAGTTAAGCACATATAAAAGCCAAGTCTTGTATCACAGGCCTCCACAACCACACAGGTGAAGTGACATGCCCAAAGTCTCACTTGCCTTTTATGCTAAACAGGAAACTTAGGAACCTAGACTTCTCCTGTAAGGAGAGTGAGAGTTGAGACATTTAGGGAGTTTTTTAAAGGATTGGGGGCGGGGAGGAAATATTGGCTTCTGGCATGGCCAAGATTCTGACCACATAAATCCACCACTACAGGCCGGCCTCCACCTTTTCCCCGTCCAAGGCAAGAAGGAACTACATTTCCCAGCGGCCCTCAGGCTGCTTCCGGCTCAGCGCGCTGGCGCTCTGCTTTCCGGCCGCGTCTTTTACGTTAGTTCGATCCCGAAGGCTCGCTCCTACAGGGCTGTGGCGGAGCCCCTGAATATGGGTTCTTTCCTGACCCAGCCTCTTGATCCAGTCAAGGTCGCCGCGCCTCCTGAAGCCGCTTCTTCCGCCAACCCCGCACCCCTCGCTACACCCGGAACGCCGACCTCTCCAGAGCAAACCCCCGTACTTAATAACTGCTGGAGCTGTCGCGTGCTTTCCGGGTCGGGGCTGATAGGGGCGGGCGGATACGTGTACTGGGTAGCACGGAAGCCCCTGAAGCTGGGATACCCGCCGGGGCCAGGGACCATTATGCAGATGGTCATCGGCATCAGTGAGAGTCCGGACAGGGCCCTTGGGGACCGGGGGGCTCGGAAGGGGAGGGGGGAGAAGCGGGGCGCAGCCACGTGAGTGGGGGACCGGAGCGCTCGGGCTGGTCGCCTGGCGGGAGCAACCCCAAATAAGATAATGGGGGCGGTGAAAGGAAGTTGTTGGGACGCCGTTTTGGTTTTTTTTAATCACAATATTTCCTGAGAATTCTTATTAGCGTCAACCTTTTAAATCCTGTCAATAACTGTTAGAGATAATTGTCCCATTTTACTGCTGAACAAACGAAGACTCAGACGTAAGAAGTATCCTGTTCAAGGCCAGACCCTCAGGATGTGACACAGCTAGCCTTTGATCCTAGGTTTACCTGGCACCAAAGCCCATGTTTTTTCTCCCATTCCTGGAGAAAAAGCCTGAGAAAGGGGATTTAACTTTAGTTTAAGAACCTGGGCTTTGAAGTCAGGCTGTAGGCATGGGTTCAAAGCCCACATACTAGGTATACAGGGTATTGTGGCCAACTGTCCTTATCTGTATTGTTGACGAAAAATATCCTGCCTAAGAGAAAACTTATAAGAGTTTATTTGAGCCAAACTGTCGACAATTGCCTGGAAGCAAAATCTCAATGAATTGAGCAAATGCTCCACAAAATGGCAGTTTGCAATTTATTTTATACATAAAATCAAAGGAGGAAGGTTACATGAAATCCACTGGTGATAGATTAAGGGGGTGGGAGAAAGCAAAGCGGGGAAATCTTTGGGATTGGATAAAAGTAAATTGGAGAGACAGGTACTCCTCCCACACAGGTGGGTGCAGGCTAGCTAACAGTTCGCTCTTTACAACACATAGCTTAATCAGGAGATAAGCATAATAATGAGGAATTTTGCAGTTTTCAGCTCTGGTCTGGAAAAAGTGTTAAAGATATTATTTTAGGTACAGAGACAACAGGCCCACTGAAAAGGCACAGATGAACTTAATGAGGAAGCTCAAGATGGGACTTCCCACCATGGCCTACTTAGTTAAAAAAATTTTATGTTCACGCCATCCTCTGGTTTATTTTCAGTGTCCTGAGTTTTTCAGGTTTAACATGTGGCCCCTTTTCTGTCCAGAGCAGCAATACTTAGTGATTATCAAGATGTCTTCCAGTACAATGGAGTGATTCTTTTAGTTCTTCAAGCCAATTGAGTGAATAGAATTTTAGGTTTTCTGATGTCTTAACCTTTGTAACTAGATTGTCCATGTCAGTTCCCTTTAAGTTCCTTTCTAGATTGGGGAAATAACAGGATTTTTTCTTTTTTCCTTCACTTCTTTTTTTTTTTCCTTTTCTATAAGAAAGATATGATGGTAACATATCTACTAGGAGTGCTGTGAGGCTTAAATAAGATGGCATATATAAAAGCATTTGGTAAATTAAAAGGCAGCATACACTTAAGGTACTGTTTTTTTCCTAGGCATTGCTTGTTGGGGTATAGTCATCCTGTCAGACCCCAGAGGGAAGGCTGTCCGCGTTGGTTGAAAGTGCTGCCAGTGAATTTGTCATCTATCCTGTCACCATGACACACAGCGCCAGCATGAGGCTTATGGATGTTCTGGACAGACACATGGACATTGATATACTTTTTCTGTGAATACTGCAAGACTGAAAAGACAAACATTGGTTGTCATTATTTGAACATGAGTGTTTGTGGCCTTGTAGGGCTCCACAGAGACCAATAAATCCCTCAGAGAAGAGAAGTTCTTTGTCTTATCTGGGGAAAGAGGATATAATTTAAAAAAAAACAAAAAGAAAGAGGAAATGATAAACCAAATGGGAAAATGAACTAAGTTGTTATTTAAAATAATTCTTTTTACTTCTTCCATATTTGGGTCAATACTTATTTATCGATCTAACCCTGGATGGGCATCATGCAATATGCAAAATTATGTAAAACTTTATCTATACTGCTCACACTTCCCAAGGCACTATCAAATCCGTCACCGTATGAGAGTTTCACAGCTACTCGCAGGTGGTTATTTCACTTCTGGCAAGTGAACCTTTAAAAACAGTCCTAGTGATTTGCCCAAGGTCATTTAGCAAGTCAGTGATGGAGCAAGGACTTTTTTAGTTGTTCTTGTTATAGTCTTTCAGACTTAGGATGGTTCCAAAGAGGCAAGAATTACGTTTATTAAACAATTAGATAATCATAAAAATAATAAAAGACAAGTGCCAAAATATTTGAGAGAAATTCAATACCTTTTGTAATAATATACATTTTTTTTAAATGTTCTTTTTCCGCAAGCACTGGAAATGTTTGTGATGCAATTGAGATGCTTTTGATATAAGGGATTTAAAACTAGGCAGTTCATGTCTAAGAGAAGTCTGTGCTTCCTACAAGTTCTTTTTGTCTGCTATACCATGACTTTTCTATAAACTTACATGTAGCTGTTTTCTAGAAAAAAAAGATCCTCTTAAATTCAGCTACCAATGACAATGTAAGTTGAATGATCCATTGAGTAAGTACTTTAGGGCTGCTACCTTTTCTAGTGTTATTAGAAGTGCCTAAGTCTGGTAAGCCCCACAAATGACAATGAGACTTTCATTGTCTATGTCAGATTATGGTATAGGGGGTACTATATATATATATATATATATATATAGTACTATATATATATATATATATATATATATATATATATTTGAGAAGAAAGACATTTCAACATAGCAAGGTATAATTTATGTGAAATGTACAATTCAGTTATGTGATGTTAATGAATATAGAAGTTTTANAGAAAGACATTTCAACATAGCAAGGTATAATTTATGTGAAATGTACAATTCAGTTATGTGATGTTAATGAATATAGAAGTTTTAAGTTGGAAGGGACCATAGAGGACCCAAAGCAGGGTACTTCCTTGAGGGCCCATGATATGTGATCATTCATCATATAAAATATCATTGAAGACAAGTTACTCCTGCTTTAAAAGGCAAGCCATTCTATTGATGGACAGCTGGAGCCTAAACACTTTTTTAGGTTTAACCAAAAATACAGATCTAACTTACTGGTCTTGGCCTACTGGATAAATAGAATAACTCTTAAACTTACATATTATAATGTTAACATCTTTCTCAGAATTTGCACTGTAAGCAAATGAGAGCTTTTTTCCAAATAAACTTGTCTGCTCGCTATTTGTATTGCCAAAGTATATTTTATTCTTCCCAAATTGGGGAACTTAACATTTAACCATGTGTGAGCAAAGTATTGTTCTATTATGAATATAGGCAGTTAAGTGGGAATAACCACCCCTCAAAAATAGGTTAGTTAGAATTTGTAGTTAAAAGTTAGTTTTCTTTGGAAATGTATTCCAAAATTTGATTCCTGCCAGTGCTAAGTCAGATTCTATTTGTTTTAGGCATGAGTCTCATCTTCAGAGAAAAAAAGACATCCTGCAATGCAGGAAGTCACTTAGTGCCCCTATTATTTTCCTTTTGTTGGGGATGAAGTGGGGTGAGCAGGATAAACAAGCGCAAGAATCAATGGATTATTACTCAGCAATGTAAGAATACCAGCTTAATTATGATTTATGGGCTTTAGAATCTCTTTAAACAGCATGGAAATGAGAGTAAAAAGACTCATAATTACCTCTACTCTAGCAAAGGAGAAAAGTACAAAAATGAGCAATTTAAAATGAACTTAGTTTTTCTTGTAACACTGAAATGTGTACATACATTAACATTTTTCATGATATCCAAGTTACCTATTAGCTCAACCTTTACATAGTATAAATGTAGGTATCTCAAGATGACCAAGAAAATCATGTCATCTTGTTTGTTTTGTGTATTGCATTGACTGGTCTGGAATCCTGAGCAGCTAACAGTCTGTCTGAACGTATTAAAAGACCCAAGTATAAATTGGTCCTCAGGATCTTGTGTGTTGGAGGAGAGAGGTGAAGGTTCTCTTTTTTCCCTAGGCCAATTGCCGCGACAGCTGTTGGTCGCACTGGACTGTTCCAAATGCAGATCAATCCAAAAAGTTCTGGAATTTCACCTGGCCGAGATCGATTGCAGAGACAGCTGTTTCCGGTGGCCCTAGAGGTTCAGCATCTCAGTCGTGATTTATACTTCACCTCAACCTCAGTTCAGCATTTGCTCCTCGCTCCTTTTTATTACTGGTTTCTCAGCCTAGCTGTGTCTGGATCAGGGGCCTCTTGAATGAAGCCAGTTGATTTGACAACATAAAACGTATTGCTCCTAAATTAAATACATGTTCAGGGCAAGCATATGTTCAAGTACCCCTCAAACCAGCCTTGGCCTCAACTGATTTATTGCCGGGACTACATTGATCAAACAGACACTTCACAAATCTTAGAGTCGGGAATCGTAAGCAATTTTGAGATGAAAAACTACATTTTTAAAAAATGACAGATAAATCCTTGCTTTGACCCAATGATTATGTAGGTGTTAGGGGCACAGAGTCAGAGGTGAAAGACCTATAATTAGACATCATTCAGAGGTATCCTAGGAGTGTGAGGAGAAAATAATGTCACTCTTCTAAATGCATGTCTCAGCCTTTGAGATACTCAGCAACTTGTCATTCAAATGTAAATGGGTGTAGAGAAATAGCCAAAGGGCGAATGTTAAATGCAGTAATGCCATTAAAAAAAAAAATGACCACTCAGTCCTGTGACTGAACTTGTATATGTTTCAGGAATGCAGTAGGCAGGATTCTTAAAATGGCCCCCAAGGTTCTCAGTCCCTTAGTGTACACACACTTTCTCCCAGTTATTCAAGCACCATTCTAGGTGCTGCTGTGGAGAAATTGCAGATGTCATTAATGTCCAGATGGGCTAATCACCAGAGCCCATTAAACCTTGGTCTAGAGCAGGGGTGGGCAAACTATTGAGATGCAAGAGCCAATCCTGTCCCTCACAACAATTTAAAAATTATTTGAGAGCCATAAAATAAATGAAGTCACCAATATGTGAATAATATCCTTTAAAGTTTTGTTTGTTTGTTTTTTTAAAGCCATCCTGCTACCTGTTGGCAGCTCAGCGGCTGCTCAGCTCGGGCCGGGAATCAAACCGCTGTTGCTCAGAGCTCAAACTCTTGAGCGAGCTCTTAACCAACTGAGCCACTCAGCTGGCCCTCCTTTAAAGTTTTTATAAATGAAACTATGATAGTTTTATTTTTATTTTCAATTTTACTTCAGAGCCATATATGGCTCGTGAGCCGCAGTTTGCCGACCCCTGGTCTAGAGGTCAGAGACAGGAGCAGTGAGAGATTAGGAGGAAGATTCAATGCCTGAGAAGCCCATTGCAGGCCGGGAGGAAAGCAAGTATCCGTGTTGTGAACTGCCTATGGGGGGCCACGGAGATTAGGAACTCCGGGCAGCCTGGAGCTGCTGAGAATGATCACCAGCCAACTGCTGAAAGGGAAACGAGGACCTGTTATCCAACTGCAAGGAAATGAATTCTGCCAACAACCGGTGAGCTCGGAAGAGGGACCCATGAGAACCAAGAACTACATAACCCCAGCCGACACCTTGGTTTCAGCCCAGTGAGACCCTAAACAAAGTAAGTCATGCTGTGAAACTATGAGATAATAAATTTGTGTTAAGTTGCCAAGTTTGTAGTAATTTATTACACCAACAGAAAGCTAATACAAGGAGTGTTTTGCAGAATTATACTCATAGTAGGTGGCATGCCAGACCAAACACATATCCCCATTCTGGGTATTCGGGAAGTAGCAGGAAGAGGCCATCTGAATAGCATTTGTCTTTACAGTTACTATCTTCACTTGTTCTTTTACTGGTGGTTTTCATGGATAGTTTTTATTTTGTTTCCTAGCAAAATTGTTCTACTGATAAATATTTACAAAAATTGCAGCAGTTATGTGTCAAGCATTAAGCTAAGTGCTTTGCAGGGACTCTTTAATCTTCTCGGCAACCCTCTTTTACAGAAGAGATAACTGAGGCCTGGAGCAGGTAAACATTTCCCCAAAACCTCAAGTGATGAACCAGTAGTGACTTGGGGAAGAGCACTAATTGAGAATTGGGAATTCATTTTGCTACAGTCATTTTCTTAGTATCCCATTACAAAATGTTCACATATCAAAATTAAAATTTTTTTATTCTGATTTTCCATTTTCTCCTTGGTTATCCCTTAGTTTAACATGTATCATTAATCTCTTGGTTTCCTCTTCATAATTGAGGTTATATCACTTGTCACTCTGACAGCAACTTACATATTAATTTAGAAGAGCTTCTTCTCATTTCCCTGAGCAGGCTCATAACCCATCCATGGCTTTACCCCAGTCTTTCTTCTGACCTTGGACCATTCTCCTGCACTCCAGACTCCATTTTCCAGCCACAGCAGGGCATCCTACCCGTCTACACACAGCAAAGTCCCAAGTTGTCCCAAATGAACTTAGCTACCTCCAACCTATTTCTTCTCTACTTCCTATCTCTGTTAGTAGCATTTTCATCTCATAAGCTGGCCCACCTAAAAACTATAATATTATCTATGATTCTCTTTCCTCTTATTCTTTACTTAATCTGTTAACAGGTCCTGGTTAATTTAGTCTTTTAGGTAACTAATAAATGGTTAATATCCGAAATATATAAAGAATTCATACAACTTAACACCAAAAAACCCCACAATCCAATTAAAAAATGGGCAGAAGATCTGAATAGACATTTCTTCCAAGAGGACATACAGCTGCCAACAGGTATATGAAAAGATTTTCAATGTCACTAATCCTCAGAGAAATGCACATTAAAACCACAATGAGATATTACCTCACACCTGTCAGAATGGCTATTATCAATAAATCAACAAATAACAAGTGTAGGTGAAGATGTGGAGAGGGCACCCTCGTGCACTGTTGGTAGGATTCTACAATAAATTGGTGCACCCACTATGGAAAACAGTATGGAAGTCCCTGAAACAATTAAAATAGAGCTGCCATGCAATCCAGCAATTCCTCTTCTGGGTGTTTATCGGAAGAAAACAAAAACACCAATTTGAAAAGATATATGTACCCCTATGTTTATTGCACCAGTATTAGTAATAGCCAAGATATGGAAGGAACCTAGATGTTTATCAATAGGTGAATGGTTAAAGAAGATGTCACACACACACACACACACACACACACACACACACACACACACACACACAGGGGTCTGACAAGTTCGTGAACTTGTTGCAACAATGTTGCTAACCTTTCCTGATATCAGAGGGATTATTCATTTTGAATTTGTACTAACTAGACGAACAGTTAATGAAGCTTACTATTTGGAAAAGGCTGCATATAAAAGTTAGATGACCTGAACTTTTCGCCAACAATTCATGGCTCTTGCATCACGACAATGCACCAGCTCACACGGCACTGTCTGTGAGGGAGTTTTTAGCCAGTAAACAAATAACTGTATTGGAACACCCTCCCTACTCACCTGATCTGGACCCCAATAACTTCTTTCTTTACCCAAAGATAAAATAAATATTGAAAGGAAGACATTTTGATGACATTCAGGAAATCAAGTGAAATATGATGACAGCTCTGATAGCCATTCCAGAAAA